GTGTTGTTATCCTCAATCTTCTTCATTGCAGACTCTGTTGTCAAAGGATATTTAAGAATTTGGAAATGGTCAAGCTTGCACCTAGGAGTAGCACTAATCCGGGGGTATTTAGGGTTCCTTTCCTTTTTAAATGTCCTTGGCCTGTGGAAGGTGACTTTGGTGCGGATTTTCTTTCCCTTCTTCTTGAAGGTAGTCCCACCTTTCACGGCCTTGGCGACCTTTGCAGCCTGTACCTTTGGGTCAGCCTTTTTAGTAACATCACCTTTCGGGGCCATTGAGTTGCTTCGACCTCTGCTTACCTCAGTATATTAGACGAACTGCGGGGTGAAGACTGCGGACGACCGTCTAGTGAGATATGAGCGGTAGAGGAGACATCTCATTGATCTCTTCCTTGGATGTATGACATGTTTTTTTTGCTGAACAAGTAGTGATTCGCAAGTGAAGCACTGACTGATATGACATCATTCATGTTGAATCTCTCAAGTACCTGTTCAATGTATTTCTCTTGAAATAGCCATAACTTGCGATTCTTTCTATCTTGGGTGAACTTCATCCCAAGAATTTGATGATCTTCTCCTAAGTCTTAGAGAGAGCTTTCTTCAGTTGGTTTATCTTCAATGCATCTTTCCCGACGAATATCATGTCGTCTACATATAGTAGAAGAGCAATGAAGGTACCATCTACAAGGCTCTTATTGTATACTATACACACTCCTCCATGATAGTCTTCTTGTAGCATTGACACTTCATGCATGAGTAAACATCTTATTCCATTGTCGTGATGCATGGTCCAGACTATACAAGCGTTTAGATAGTTCACACACGAGGTTATCTCTTAAAACTTCAAAAACTTCTCGTTGTTGCATTGATAAAGTATTTAATTCTAGAAAGAAGTGAGAGCTAGAGAGAGAAAGTGAGCAATTAATATTTCTCAACCCCTAATAACTACCCCCAAGGGGAGTATTTATAGGAAAAAATGTGAATTTGGGCTCCTAGCCATTGGCTTAGAAGGCCCATTACAATAATCATGCCTTCTTTGGGCGAAATAAGATCACTAATGGGTTGAGTACAATACTTAGTAAATAAAGTATGAAAGTACATTCTGCCAAGATAATTCTTGGCCGATGCAGTGTCCTTTGGCCGACGTGGTCCTCTGGCCGATGCGGTCCACGGCCGATGAGGTCCACTTGGCCCCCGGGCAGTGTTCTGGGCCGATTCACCTTTTGGCCGTTGCGGGACCCACTAGGCCGAAGGGCGCCACGTGAGTGTCCCTCTGGTGTTGTTTGACCTTCTGAGTATGTGGACTATGGGGTCCAGGCTCATATACTCTATCATGCATTTGTCATTTGTTCAAGTTCCAAGTTTGCTGCCAAGCGAGATATAACTCGAATTGAAGTCACATAGGTTTTACTCTTTTAATCCATTTGCCAAATCAAAACATGAGTGTAATTTAAATCGGTGAAAGTATGGTTAAAGTGGGTGTGTTATGAGTGAATCTGCTAAAATGTGAGGAAAAAAAATTAAAAAAATAAAAATAAAGAAAGTTTTTTATGAAAAATATTACACAGTTACTCTAATTACTGCACAATTCATTAGGCGTAATCAAAAGTAACGTGTTTCACTGTTTGACTTGGTAAAAATTACTTGTTCTTGACCATGAGTATTAATTTAAGATAAATTACTTTCTACGCATAACACCACTAAAAGTATAGTTGAGGGTGGTATTGTGGTAACGAGTAACTTCAGAGTCAATGATTAGTGCGATAAAGTCAGAAGGGAAAATCGCACTTTCAGTCCTTAAAATAGTATTTATACAATGTACTGCCCGACCTTTTGTGTTTGTAAATGTCTGAGTGGTTATAAATGTGGTTTTTTTCGTCAAATCTAAATTAAAATTGTTAACTTCTACTCCGTATAACTTTTGACACGATTGGTGTTATAACTTCACACAGACCAAAAAATAACATTTTTTATAAAAAAAAATTGCACCGATAATTTCGTCTCTAAATTTTCACTATAGAAAAAAATGTCAATCGGAAAAATTTGATTTTACAGACAATAAATGTTAGACACAGACAAAAAATGTTTCCTGAATGACCACAGAATTGTATTGTTTTTATACACATTGAAAAAATTCTTTCCACAACAACATCCGGGTCTTAGTCCCAAAAGATATTGAGGTCGACTAACATGAATCGATACATGATAACACCACCAAATTCTTTCCACCGGAAATTTTATCCGTTAAAAGTAGGCCACATACATAAAATGCCATTGGAAAATTTTAAAGTTTTCATACTATAAAAGTTTGGCACGTATAAAAATTCTCTCACACAAGTTAAAAAAAATTATACATTTTGTACACATTTTTAAAATCTTTCACACTAATAGTTTTTGCCTATATAATATACAGTATACTTTTTACGTTTGAAAGCACATATCTATGATATACGTTTGTAGTGTGTAAAATTGGATTTTCTGATTGATTTATATTGTCTGTGTTCTACGCATACCTTAAAATTTAGGGTGGAAACGATTTTGAAATGTGTAGAAAAACGATATTAATGTTTCAATTTTGGAAACACTTTTTGTCACTGTTAGACATTTATTGCCTATAAAATTGGATTTTTCTGATCCATCTCTTTTATCTGTGACGTAACTTGAGAGTCAAAATTATCGGTGCGAAAACTTTTCAAAACATTACGGAGTATTATTTTTACTGAAGTTATAACCCTAACCGTGTCAAATCGTATAAAAGTTAATGGTGTTAGTTCGTATTTGACGATGAGAACCACATTTATACGAGCTCAAAACCACGGAGATTCACAAATTATACGGTGCAACCGGCGTACCATGCATGCGCATGGTATGCCAGTTGCTAATACGGTAACGTTTTTTGCTTTTCTCATGCTTTCAAAAGTTCAAAAGCCCAAATTACGGAAGTCTTCTTTCTCCTAGGTAAGTACTTCCTTTCTCTTTATTGTTCTTTTCTATTTTCTTTAATTCTTTTCTCTTTAACATCAAATACTAAAAATTTATTTGTGATTTTACTGATCTTTATCTTTAACTAATTAAAATATAAATGAATTTACATTTTTTTCTTTACCAAATTATTACAAAATTTTATTAATCCACATAAAATAAGTGTATTGTAATACATTTTATATTTTATTAATCCACATAAAAAGCATATTTTATTAATCCACATAATAATTGAATCTATTTTTTTTATTCTCTATGAATGCATAACAAAAAGTTTATAAATCTAAATAAAATAAGTATATTACTATATTCCATCATTCAGCTCCTAGACAATGAATCACATCTTCTTCTGCGCAAGGTACATATTAATGTACGCGAGTTACATCTAAATATACGTGAGTTACATCTTAATATATGGGAGTTACACCACTGAATAAACTCCAGCTATATCATTTTTATTGCCCTAATATTAAAACTAAAACATATTCACTATTTATAAAAAGTAATTAAGCTATTAGGATCGATTTTTCATTGTTTACATTGAAATCAATGTTTATAATATCTCAAACAAAAAAATCATTGTTCAACTTTCCAACAAGTTACATTCTGTATACACCCAAGTTACATTTGGCATCAACGTGAGTTACATTTATAATAACATGAGTTACATTAAAAAATCAACCCCTGCTATTGAAACAAAAAAATGATCTTTTCTAAAAAATTATTTTTTATAGCCATGATATTAAATACAAAACATATTCACGTGTTACCTAAAACAATTGTATAATTAGACTTTTTTTTTTTCATTATTTACATTGAAATCAATATTTGACAAGTTACATTTTTTATGGGCTTGAGTTACATTGATCAATAATACGAGTTACATATCTTTACAGGCGAGTTACACCGTCTATGTTACTGGGACAAAAAAAAGTCACAGTACACGCGTGTACTGTTCACGCGTTTTTTTAAATTGTCCAAAACTACATCGTTTTGAGAGTGAGAGTACGGTGCTCATGGTGGGACGCGGTTGTATGGTATACGAACTGATGGAGATTACATTCCAATGTGAGTATGATTTGAGGGAGTGAAAGTGTGATTGGAATTAAGTAATGCTAACAAAAAAATTATAAATGGAATAAAACATATTTTAGTGAATCCATGAAAAGAAATACGGAGTAAACGTAAAATATACGGCAGGTAGGGTAGCTGCACTCTGTATATAATTATAATCCGTGCAGACTACAGAGTAGATGAATCGTAAGAACATTAACCCCATTGGCAATTAGTCCATTACGTACCCTCCCCTGCTAGAGATCAATCCCAGCCTCATCTGGAATTTGATCAGAATGGGCGAATCCAGCAGATACGACTTTTCCAGATTTGTGTTTGTGTTCATTCTTCTTCACACTTCATCCTGCAGGGCTGCTGCTGGTCGACATCTTTTAGGGTTACGCATCGCCCGCACAGACCGCAATAATACCCTGGGTTGGGTTGCTATTATCGTCGCCATTGTTGTTCTTGCTGCGCTTCTCTTCTATTACCAGTGTTGGAAGCCGTATAAAAAAAACGAACAAGAATTACAAGGAATGGGACGGGTATTCCGTGTAAAGATGTCCAATAGATGGTGTTGTTGAACTGCCGTCACAGTGCGGCTAATTCGGTTAGACAACTGAGAAAAAATCAAAGTATTTCATATTGTAATGCATTCATAAGATCAGGGCCGTCTAATGAATTTGGAGGCCCTGGTTCAAAATCTAAAATCGGGGCCCCATATTAATATAAAAGAATTTAAAAAAATCTCAATCCAAATAGTTATACTCAAATCAATGGAATACTAGAAATTGTCCTTAATAGGACTAAATCAATAAGGAAGTTCCAAAATAAGAGTACTTGCTGATTTATTCTGTATATAGGAGTTTATTGTTGACCGGTCCATTCCCTTTTCCAAATATACCCTCTTTGCAACTAGCCTAAATTAATTTGATTTTGTCTGTTGCCTTTCTTTCTGTCAGCCATCTTTCGTCTCCATCACACCTTTTTCTCCCCTCTTTATTCTGCCTTCTCCCATCTCCTCCCATTTATCCTCTGGCACGCACTCATCTATTTGACCTCCTTCACAGTTCATCTCCGCCGGTGGATTACGAAGGTTTGGGCGGTGAATTTCTCCCCAGAACTCCGGCTATCAGCGGACAACGTAATAATCATAGGTAAGTTTCTTCTCCTCTCTCTTCTTCTTCTTCGTCTTCTTCTTCTTCTTCTTTCCCTTCTTCTCCATTTTTTTTCTCCTTTGCGCAGCGGCAAACCTTTTGGAGCGTCAAACCAAAATTTGATTTGATTTTTAAGTGAATGTTATTTTCCCCTTCCAGATCTAAATTTATCATGCTTCAATCTCCCCTTTTCCTTTATTTGGTCTATCAATTTTTTTCATATCCTTTATAATTTTCCTTTGACGAATCTTATATCAAATTTGACTTTTTTATTATTAAAATACAAACATTCGGTGATTGAATAAAACTGAATTTTGATTTTTTATTTTAAAAAATTTCAATTTAAGGATTTTGGATCTGAAAATTCTACAACTAATGTTTATTTTTTGAAAACTTTTTTTGAAAGTTATGTCATTTTTATGATATTGAATGTATTAAGATGGAAAATTACACATTAAAAAAATGGAAAAAGTATTTTACAAATGCCATGTTTTATAAATGTTTGGCAAAATTATTTTACAAATATCATGTTTTCAAAATGTTGGCAACAAAATGATAAAAAAATGTTGGCAAAAAATGTCATTTTTCATCCTAATATTGCCATCTTCATGTATTTTGTGCCATACAAAAATGACAATAAATGCAAAAATAACATCTTTTGTATATAATAAAAATTTGGCACTGTTTGCCATCCCGATTGAGTAACAAAAGAATTGGCAAAACTATGGCAATAAGTGCAAAAATAACATTAGCAATTATAGATTCAATTCATAAAATAATCCTAAAAATTACAAAAATAATGATTGAAACCAGATTTCAAAAATTATATTTTGTATTGTCAAATATAAATTAAATATAAAAAACATTAGCCAAAACAAAATTGAAAGAGAAAGTAGAAAAATCAACAAAAACAAATCAGATAAAACAGATCTGGAGATAGATTTGGTAAAACTGAAGCAAAATTGAAGAAATAGATCTGATAAAATTTAAACAAAATCAATGTAAAATTTGCTTGTTATCAATTAAGACTGACACGAATTAGCTTCCCTCACAGCAGTCCAAGCGGAGGGCTCGCCGGAGGGCGGCGGCGGCGCTGGAAAATACGAAAGTGGCAATTCAAATGAAGACTCTCTTGAGAGCAGCTGCACATTGGTGACGTCAGCGGCGGCGGCGGAAGAGCCGGCGGCGGGAGAGACGGCGGCAGTGCCGGCGGAGGAAGAGACGGCGGCGGCAGTGTTGGCGGCGGTGGCACAAGAGATGGTGGCTGGCAACACCAAATCTGGTGTGGTAGTATTGTAGACCAGATCTGTGTAAAATTCTATTTTTGTATTTTGTTTTTTGCTCCGTATTAATTCATCTTTCATTACAAAAACTTCAGCTTCTTTTCATTAAGGGTATTATGGTCACTTACATGAAAATTCCGTGTCAAACATGGTTGACAAAGTAGGACTCCTATTTTGGCATAACATCTATGTTCTACTCCCATATTCGGAATTTTCTCATGGAATACTCATTAAAAAAGAACTAAAAGAGTAAAAGGAACAACGAAAAAATGATGTATCTATATTTGTTTTTTTCACTAGCCAGTTAAGTGTATTTTATTGATTAGTATTAATATATAATATTACTATATAATACTAATAAATTTTTAAAAATATGGGGCCCCTTAAATCTGGGGGCCCTGTTCTGGATAACCTATTGAACCCCCTAAAAAACGGCCCTGCATAAGATGTCATTTGATCAGTGACTTCAGTGTCGTGGAGGATAGTATTAATTGTTGGCATTGTTATATTAGATTTATATTTTGTTTTCTACAAACAAATAAACTTATTTCTTGCCCTCATTCAGACATATTTTCTCAGTTGAGCTTGTTTCATATCCAATTATTCATATTTAGATGCAGATAAAGCATGTCAGATTGGATCAAATTTAGAGTTAAGAGGGATCAGACCCGAACAAAGTCAGAGCCACGCTCAGATAACATTAAATAAAACCAAATACTTTATATCAAAGTGGAAATTTCCAAAAATATCCAAAGTATTTGGAAAGAAGCTTTCCGGTGGAACAATAAAATTTAAAACAAAATTGATAGGAATACCACATTCCCAATGGGTTGGGTAGCCTGCTGAAGGGAGACATGGAAAAGAAGGGGACCTATGTAACTTGTTGTAACTTTTGTATTTAATTACTCCGTATATTTCAATTTTTATGGAAAAACTAGTATTTCACCCGTGGATGTAATACACAATTATTATAAATGTTGATATATAAACTCAATTTTAAGTCAAACTATCTTTATAATGGAGATATACAGAATCGTAAATGAATAATAACATTAGAATCTTAATAAGCACAAAATATACAAATTATTGAGGAGACAATCCAACGCACCGATCGTTGAGTCATCCTCTCATATGGGAGCTCCCGGATTCAAAATTTCATGGAAGCAATTACTTCCCTATTTACCCCAGACACTCGCAGACCCCGCTTCCTTTAACCCCAAGGTAAAATAAACGAAGACACCTTTTGAAGTTTTTGAGATCTCTTCCTCATTGCATATCATGAAATTCAAGTCAAGCGGACTTGTTGTCCTCAAAATTGCAACATAAAATTATTTATTGTAAGATCAGAATGTAGCAAGAATAAACACTCATGAAACTTAGACAAACTTAGATAAAAGTCCATTACTTTTTATCCAATTCATTTCTAACCCCGAAATCACTTTTTCACATTCTCTTGCAGTAACATTTCTTATGAAAACTTCTCATTTGTACCATTTCTTATGAGATCTTCTCACACCGGCCTATAATAGCTATTTATATATATATTTTACATAAAAATAAATAAATATCAATATGCAAGGATTGCAAGCAGGAAAAGTAATTTTCCCTAACCTTTCAAATAAACATGAAAATAAAAGGTGACACATTGTGTTAAAGAAAGTGCTTGGTTGGTGTTATTCCTTCACCTATAAAGTGTGAAAAGGAACGCCTGATATTCCATGAAAGGCTTACACTGCATTCTTGAAGCAAGAAGTACTAACATGAGTCTAACTCCGTCCAAAGCTTGTTATCACCCTCATCAGGATTCAACCCAAGTACCCAACGTATTAATGACAATAAATGCCATCGTCTCAATAACAGATAAACCCAACGCATTTACTCCATCGCTCAAGCTTATATTTCTCTATTCCTCCATCTGGTCAGCCAATTATAGAAGAAGTAGCCGTTAAGACAATTCATTTATGTAGAAAAATGTTCTCAAAAAAATCTCAAGTACTAACGTGAATTAGTAAAAATAAATCTTTTTAAATAGCATATAAGAGGTTAAAACAAACATGGAGTTAAAAAGGTTAACTCATTGAAAAACAATTCAAAACATAATGACTAATTTCACTTATCAAATATGCAATGTCTCAAAGCTGGCATATGGGCAAAAATGTAGGATACATAGTAGATAGCAACTATGTGAGGCAGATGTACTCATGTACACATCTATTTGTACACGATAATGATTTACTGGAATTTTTAGCTCATGGCTGAAAGCAAGTTTGCCCTCTATATAACCTTTACAATGATAAATCCCAAATGGAAAAATCAAGATATCTGTTCTAGACTTGAGTTCTTGACTCCATGTTCATGTTCACATGAGCCACAAAGGTACCAAGACATGAATAGGTAGACCATTGCTAAAGAGAAAGACTTCCCGGCAGCCTTACTAAGCCAACATTCTGTTTATCTATTTGAAGCAGAGTCTCTGATTTCTAGCTCCTCCTCTTTCATCTCCTTCAATCTTTCGTGTTGCTAAATAAATTCTGTGCAAGCCAATTTTTGAATACCATCAAATGTGAACTACACAAGCTCATTGCAACAGAAAGCCCTCCCTCCAAAGTCTGTAACATGAATAGATGGACAACGAAAGTGTTAAGGGTGAGGGATTGTTTAAATGTTCTATTAATTTTTCCAATTGACACCTTAAGTTCATAGTGGTGATGGACATGATGATGGATATGTAACATGCTTTAGTTATTAATTAGGAAACAAAACTGTAAACGTATCTTGGGTTGACTATTTTCCTAGCTCCAAGAAACACTGCATTCAAAACCAATTTTCCAAGCTCCAAGAAAATGTGTGTATAGTAGAAATTACAGCATTCTAAACTGAAAACTTTAGAATCTAGAATGGCAAAGTTTAGACTGGAAGCTATTGCCATTTCCAGTCCATACTCTAACTTATATGTATATGTGCGGAATGTTTCTTATCCTAAACTAATGGAATTTCAAATGTGTAGAATCACTTAATATTATCCTGACGCGTGTTCAAGAATAGACAAAATTAACAGGTGAACCAAAGAAAAGGAGTATGATCGGTCTGAATTCTGATTCCGAAAAGGATCAAAGTGGAACCAACCAAAAATAAAGAGATGAATCGTAAACAACCTAATCCAAGAAGTATTCCACTTTCTCCAAAATGGGACCAAACCGACTTTGACTTTGATTTTAAAAACAGGATAGTCAGGCTGATTGGAGACCCAATGGCAAAAAGGTTAAGAGCTGACACAAAACAGGTGTTATTCAAAAAATTCACACTAAATAAGAACAGATTAAAATATATACTGCATTTATCCGGCCTCTTATCTCCAGAACTATGCAAGCTAAGTCATGATTTATGTAGAATTCCAGCTCCCAGCAAGCCCATACCATGGGATGGTCTTCCATCTCCTGCCCACTGAAGAGAAGCATGGAGAGGCATGGGTTGTAGCATGGGTTGTAGCATGGGTAGGGGAGAGCATCGAACGGGTTCGGGTAGGACGGGTGAAGATTTGGCATACCCGGTCGGTTTTCGGGTTAGGAATTTAAAACCCTACCCTGTTCTATAAAAATGTCGGGCTGTTCGGGTTGCCCAATTTCGGATCCCGGTCGGTTTGAATCGGATATTCGGGGCCATTCGGGTTGATAAAAAACCATTAACTAACATCAGTTATCACATTAAAATTATAAGTTTGTGAAACAATACAACATTACATTACAATACAAGTAACAACTAACAAGTAGCAAAATAATAGAGTTTGTACTTTTACTTTGTACAACTCCAAGCACAGTTAATTAGTTTTACAGTTGTTACCTAAACACTTGTACATAATACAGTTTGAGAATAGACTTTGAGTAATGTAAAGTTCCAAAATAGTAAGTAGCAACAAAAAATTTAACATTCAACATTTTAATGGGGGCAGATCTTGAATATAGTTCCTTCTTCCAATCTTCCATAGTTCCATCATTCCATGTGTGTAGCAGACCAGCAACAAAATACTCATTGAATATGTTCCTAGGTACATCACAAGTTAAAAAATTAGTAGAAATGTAGTGTTTAGGTTTCAGATTTAGATTCACTTCAAAAAAAAATGTATGAGTATCAGAGTATGACATGATGAATACTAAATGCAATCAGGTTTGGCTCAGGTTTAGCTTCACTTCAGAAAAAATGAGGGCATTAAAAACTATATAGAAATAGAATCAACACCAACTCATTTGTTTTTGCAACCTGGTAGAAGTGTAGAAGGGTAGCAGAGTAGCAGCTTTCATCATTGCCAGAAATAAGTAAACTATTGATCTACCATCAATTTCATTACTTGGTAGAAATGGGGGCATAAGAAAGTACATAGAATGATAGAAATAGAACCAACACAAGCTACTTAGCTACCATCAATTTCATTACTTGGTGAAAGGTATCATCATTTCCAGAAATAAGGAACATTGGAACAAAGTCTATACAGATACAATATCATATTCAAATTCTTCCAGCAAAGTGGTAGTAGCAGGGGCATAGTTTGGCTCAGATTTGCATTCACTTCACTATTAATGGGGGCATTGAAACTATATAGAAATATAATCAACACCAGCTACCATTAATTTCATTGTTTGGTGGAAGCAATCATCATTGCAATAAACATGGAACACTGGAACAAATAGTATACAGATACAATGTCATATTAAAGTATTTCCAGCAAAGTGCAAGTAGCAGGGGCATAGTTTGGCTCAGATTTGCATTCACTTCACTATTAATGGGGGCATTGAAACTATATAGAAATATAATCAACACCAGCTACCATTAATTTCATTGTTTGGTGGAAGCTATCATCATTGCAATAAATATGGAACACTGGAACAAATAGTATAGAGTGAAACAACATTACCATGTCTTGTTGTCACACACACACATTACCAGTGCATCAGCAACACTTCCAATTCCCATCAAAGCAGCAGGGTTATGCATTTACAGCCAGGACATTGACAGAATCATAGCATGTTCATTAGTGAAGTAACAAATTACATATATAAAAGATAAAGTATAAGTTTTACTGCTATCTGATCAAGAGAAGGGCCACCACCAACATTTCCTCCACC